CATTGTAATAGGATTGTAATAAATACTCTCTCTCTCTCTCTCTCTCTCTCTCTCTCTCTCAAGTGCAGCCGCTCACTTGTTTATACCTTAAACCATTTCATGATTGCTCTTTGAAGCTTCCACCATCTTATGCTTTATGCTTTCTCTTGATTCTTGATGTGATTGGAGTTAGTTTGAACCATATAGATTTGAAAGAAGCACTTCGGAAGAAACGAAGAGATGGGAAAGTTGCACCACCTCAACCATTGACAAGGATTCAGCGTGTTTATATCAGTCGATTGATCGCCAAGTATGGTGATGACTATGAGGTATGAGATTATATTTTGTTAGTAGAATTCAATTCTTGCACTCTTGTAAGCAGTTGGTATCTGATATTTTATTTGCTTGGTTTACTCTGTTCCCTTTCCTTACTATAGGGTTTTTTGTAATTTCTACATTTTCTGCAGAAAATGTTCATGGACATCAAGCTAAATGCGATGCAACACACAGTTGCAGAGTTGAAGAAACTATGCAAAAGGTACTACATACCGAATATGAAAGCGAAAGAAAATTGCAGTATTGTTGCTCATTCCGAGGGCGCTTGAGAGAAGGAACCAGCAATTACTAGGGCCTTTACCCGTAATCTGTAGTTTGTAGTCTGTACTATATGCGGCTAAGCTTAGAAAGTGGATATCCATGTTTCCATGTCACTAGACATAAATCAGACTTTTGAGAGAAATGCAAAGAAAATGCTTAATTGAGTATAAGTGCAGAATTTTGAAGTGTAGAATTTCATTAGACATCTGAAGGAAAATTTGCGAATATGCTCTTAATTATGCTCGACACGTCTTTCTTTTGTTCTCAAGTGATTTAATTAAACTTTTAAGAGAATGCTTCTTTTCTTTGAATTGTGGATTCATAAATAAATAGTGGGAACCCGTCTGGTCTTTTAATATTCTGATCTCAAATAATGTTTAGTCGTGCAAATTGTTTCACCAGAATTAGTACTTAAAAAGGCAATGTTTGCTCAGGAAACTCAGGTATAAATTATCATTGTGAATAGTGTGCATTGTACATTTATTCCCTTGACCAAAAGAGATACGAGATTTTTCTGGCTCGGAAATTTGGGATATACTTAAGAATCACTATATATTTTGTAGTTTCACCTAGTATTCTTCCCAAGAAAAAAAAAGAGATACTAGAGTTCTTATACCTAGATTTGATGTCTGAAACTGGGTGACGTATCATCCATCATAATGTTCCTATGTATTATATTTTATTTTTATTATTTTTATCTTCTTTATTTATTTTATGGACTGATTCTCACATTAGAGAATCAGATTAATTCATCGATTCCTGGATTTCTAGAAGGCCGGTTCGATCAGGGTTTTCAAACACTAAATGGAACTATTGGAGTTATTGCAACAAGACCCAAATGGTGTCCACAAACCTCTTTCGCGTGATTGTGATTGTGATCGTGATCAAACGACGCTCATCAAAGGAATGTCGGTCTTTTGTTGTTGGTGCCGCCCTTTGGAGGCGGGGGACTCAGCTGCAGTGATCAGTTTGAGTGTTGCAATGGATCAATCGATCATCCACTAGACTGAATTCAAGCACGAATGTGTTCGAGCCCTCCTTTTTGTGAACCTTTTTAAGGGAAATTACATTCAGCGATTTTAGATACATTTTTTTTGGAAGATCAACACTCGAGAACACGAAGACACCCAACCCAAGGACACGCGATATTTCCAAATAAATATTGTACTCTCTATTTAGGGACGTCATTTAGGTGCCAATAAAAAAATCTCAAAAATAAGTACTTTTTGAAAAGATTTAAGGATTAATTAAAACTTTTTCTAATCCTTCGCTTCTCTTTGATATTTGGTTAAACGGCCCCACTTTCTTTAAAACCCAAACTACGATGCAATCTACAGGTCCACAGTAGGGATGGCAAGTCGACATGGCACCCAGACCCAGGTCCTCTCAGAATGACATGGACCTAACCAGATCCGGGTTAACCAGCCCATTTACAACCCCATTCCACACAAGCCATTCCCAAGAAGATGGGGATTTCTAAGAGATTGAAGATGCGTTCACAACATGTTCTCACCCTAAATTCACGGAACACGGGGGCCAGACGTCGTAAATACGATAACAAGTTACTGTGTGTTTTCACCAAATCTCCAACAATACTTTCACACCCCAAACCATTACGCACAGGGAAGTATGCTATAGATAGCATGTCAGCTTGTGTCATATTGTAGACAGACCATGACTCTGTACCACAAGGCATATACCAAGCGCAGGCTCCGAGCTAAAGTTCAACTCCCTCGCCGAGTATGGAGGGTAAATATCTCCAGTGCACGATACACCGATATGGTATGTTATCTTATCTCTCTTTTTAACTCTCAAACTCCAGGCTCTTTAAGATCTAGGAAAATCAAAGCATAAACAATGAGATCACGATAGTGTCAGCCAAACACTGGAGAGTATTAACCAGAGTTGAGAACAAAACAAAAAAATGAAAAAGCACCCTTTCCTTAAATGAGGGTATATTCGACATCAGAACTCGCCAACATCCAATTCCAAATGGACCTGTAGAAACCCAGTCAAATCCCACTAAACACCACATACTGGAACAGATCCCCAACATACTTGTCGATGCCCAACAATACAATAGTGACGGAAGAATTACAGGAATGAGATAAAAAATAAAGATAAAAAGAGAGTTTTTGATGTATAGTGTATATAATAGTGATGAGGTGCATTATTTAGAAAAACACAAGAAACAGACTCACTGTCTCTCTTCTTAACGGGGGACCTTCTTTCGACTGAGAATCTCTTGCTCCTTGAGACGGTGTTGGAACCTTGCGAGACGAGCTTGGAGGCTGACAAGGCCAGCAGCTTTGCGAGACAAGACAAAGCTGAGTTGCGTCACATAGTTATCTATGAGGCTTCCAGGCTGGTCCACCTCTGCCAAAAGCTTCATTTCCTGATGTTCAAAAATCAAACAATAACTCAAATCTGAAAAAAAAAAGAACTCAAACATCACGAGATGAAATAGAAATACTTGAGATCCTATGCTGGTTCAATAATAATAGAAATACTAGTAATAAGCTGTGTGTGACAGTGGTGAGGTTGTGATTGAAACCCAGCAAACCTATCCTAATATATATATATATATAGCATTTATCTTTGGTACAAGGTGGTCACAATTAATCTTGACCATAGGATGTGAAATTAGATAGCTGCATTTATTCTAATGACCAAGCTCAAACTTCAAAAGAAATTTTCTCCAACTTTGTGATACACCTAGGCTATCAGA